AATACACTACAAATAGTTTCTCTATATTTACAATTTATTGTTTTTGTTTCTCTCAATTGAGGGCAATTCTAAAATGATCTGTATTTGTTTGTAGGGTGTTTGTTTTAAGTTATTTTCAGGACACTGATAATTCACCATTTGATATAATGGAAAGATGGTTTTCACTATAAAGAAAATGAAATACTTTCATTTGCTCATAGGGAGAATTGAAGGTCAGAAGAAAGCAGGCCAGATGAAACAGTGAAGGCACACATGGAAGGCCAGACAAGCAGAATATTTTAGTGGAGTCTAAATTATGTAAATTGTATCTAAGACTCAAGGAGCAGAAGAGGAATAAGGAGTTACAATGTCTGTGAACCTACATTCTCTTATAAAGTTTGAAAGAAAGGCAAATACTGTAATAAAAGTTTTAATAAGAGATTTGAGATGTTACAAAATTTAATAATCCTAAAAGTTTAAGAATTAAAAAACAAAGTGATATTTAAGCTTTTAAACAAGTTTGAGAAATTATGTAATTATTGAAAAAAATGTAATAATATACATTATGGGAAAAGACTATTGGGATGGTTCAATACTTTTTACTTTTATGTATGGAGCTTTAACTCCAGCTAGCAATGGACTTGAAGATCACAGTAAATGAAACTATGGTTTGTTTCACCAAACTATATAGAACAAGCTACAAGGTCCTGATAGGAGGAAAATTTTGAGCAAAATAAGTACCACCTTCAACCAGAATTTTCTGCAGAATATAGTTAATTACCAAAACAGTTTGAACATTTAAAATATTTGATTTTGTGCATACTGGAAGATATTGGTCTTATTTTTACAGCATTTCCATTTAAAAGAACAATTACCAAAGAGATAGCTGTATTTTCAGCTGCTTTGTGTATACACATCACATTTAACATTTCTAGGGAAAAAACAAAAAAACAAAAACCTCAAAATCCATTTGATTTTCTTCCTGTCCTTTGAGACTCTAGTCCAAAATGTCGTCAAGGCTTGATTTTCATGAATGGTTTACCAACTTTCTGGATTCCCTTTATAATGTAGGCTCTTTTCCTCTTATTACCCTGGCAATTTCCAGGCTCTCAAAGGCAGAGTTGGGATATCATTAGACTACGGTATGATGTGGAGTATGTTTCCCAATGCATATATTTGCCAAAAATGATTTTTGTAGTTTTATATTATCCATCAAAATATTCTTTACCCCATCATTACTGAAAATAAATTTCGACTGATAACTTGAATTTTACCATATACATTTTATCTTCCCAATTCTAATATTTAAAAACCTACTCATGTAGCTTATAAAAATTTAAATACACTTTTTAAATGAAAGTTTTGTTGTCTGAGCTATTTGGAAAAATTTTTAATACAGAGTAAATATAAATTGAACATATCAAAAACATACATATCTAATTGAAATGTCCTACAACCTAACATGCTTATAAGAAAATTATATAGATTTCTCATTGGAAAAATCTGGTCACAAAACAATTTACTATAGTTCTGCATCTTAGTATGTAAGTCGTCAAGGACATGCATGTACTCTCCTTCCCACCTCTCTACTATCCTCTGGCCCTTTAAGTGTCATTAAAAGAATTATTGGGGAATTATCCACATAATTATGTTTTCAAGAGAAGTGATTTCAAAGAAAAAGAGAAATTTTATTTTATTGAGTAAAAAATACAAACAAAGGTGTCCACTATTCTTCTTTGCCTCCAGAAATGCAATTACTTTCTTTACAGTCTTACTCCTCTGAGATTTTAGAGGATGTCTGGTCCCATGCCCTAGTATATAAGAATTTTCCACATTTGTACTTTAAAAACTGAGTTAAAGAGAATGTGCTAATGTACACTGCACAAAGATCAGAAGCATACCAAGAAAGGAGGGTGGGAAGCTGGCAGTAATCAAGTGCACTGTCTATAAAGAACATAAAAATAAAAAGCAACTTGAAAGTTGACTTTTTATTTTCACCATACACGACTGTAGTGTCAATTCCTCTGGGGGGTGGAAGGTTCCAACTTGAATATGCCCCATCCCCACCCCTTTGGTAAGCTACTGGGACTCCCTTCATCTTCTCCCATAGTTTCCTGGCTTATTTTAAGATGTCCTCATCTCAATGAAATTAGTTGGTGACAAACTACTATCCATATACAGAATCACTGGCTTTGGTAGTTACTGGGTTTCTTCTTGCCCAAATCAATGCTTTGTGTGGTTTCATAGTGCATTGCCAGGAAAGCAAGGATAAATATAGGACTGCTAAAAGAATAGACTATAGGAGAAAGCAAGATATTTAAGCAAAGTATTAAACTGTTGCTTTTGCTCAGAGATTAAAACTAAACTACAGGTGAAGAAAAAAGTCATGAAAATCAGGGCTGCATTTGCAGAAATATACAGAAGGGTGTACTTGAGTCAGATAAACAAGGAAAAAAATGCCATATTACACTTAAAATCAGTAATGAGTATACCACATAGTTTACAAAGCACCTTTCCATAAAATACATGATTTCATTTAGGATCTCAACAAGCCTGTGAGGCAGACACTGTAACAAAGTGGGAGGCAGTGCACATATCTGAGGGCAGAATATTGGCTCTATCACACAGTAATTGAATGAACTTGGGAATATCACTTAACTGCTTTGTACCTTGGTTTCTTCAAATGAAAAATGGTGATGATCAATGTCTGTCTCATAGCTACTGTGGACATGAATGAGATAATACATATAACACTTTAATACACTATCTGGTCTGGAGTAAATGCTCAATGAATACTACCATTGTTATAATTTTACAGATGAAGAAAGATAGTAGGGGAGATTAACTTCAAAGTCATATGACTACCAAGTAGAAAAGCTAACAGAATTCTAGGTTGGCTGCATTATTACCACCTTTATTACCTATGAATATCTACTTTTAATTAGAGCATGGACTAGCCTTTTGCACTGCCTTTAGTTTTTTTGCAGCTGAAAATGTAATTTGAGTTTGACAAATTCCATGGTATTATTAACATCCTTTTCTATTTTAAAACACTTCTTTTAGTGGGAATAAAAGTTAATCGCAGGCATTAAAAAGGAATGGTCTCTATGGACAGTTAGGGTGGAGACTACAATTTAGGGCTGGAAAAGTTAATTTGGTTTTTCTTTAAACCTCAGAAAAATGGAAAGTCTATTAAGTGGTAGACAGCAGAAAGACTGCAAGCTCTGAGTGGAGGGAGGTTTGTTTACTGCTATATCTCGACTACAGAATAGTGATTAGTAGGTGCACAAATATATGTTTAATGCATATTTTTAAAAACTCAACTTTAAACACATCCTTAACAGGATTTGTTTAGCTGTGACATGCTTTCCTTTCTATTTTTTAACTATATGATAACTAAAAAGTCTATCATATAGTCACCTACCCACATAGAATTTTTATCAAGATTCAGAGTAAGAAATAAAAGACTTAAATAAGGCCTTAAATAGCTTTATTGAAATCTGTATAAATAAACATGCACATTTCAAATGTAAACTCAAGTGAACTCAAGTGCAGACAAAATTTTAACCTCTGTCATGCAGGAGGTTAGTTTACATTAAAAAAAAAAAAAAAAAAAAAAGGAGAAAAGAAAAAGAAAAGAAAAAAGGAAAAAAAACAAAAAACAAAAAACAAAAAACAAACCCAAAGCAGCTTTTAAAATACCAGGATGAAAAACCAGCTTTAATATCAAGGTATAAAGCAAAGCCATGATCAACATACCTCATTTATCCTGGTCAAATGCATTTTTTTCTTTTTTACTTTTAAATGCTAACATAAATAAATAATTTACCAAAATGTGCACTCACAGAGTGAACTTTTATTTACAATACACAATTTATAATCTATTGTATTTGATTAGTTCAAGTGAAGAACATTATACTTTTTGCTTTAATAACAGTGGGACACAAAGCAATTTCTCAGGTAGTCGATATGTGAAATGTGCCCCAGCATTTAGATTTTTCTATTAAAGGCAGTATTGTATGCCAATCGACAATACATTCTTTCAACTAGATCAAAGGGAAAAAGCAGCAAATGAAAAATGTTTCAAATGTTCACACATATTTTTGGCATCCTGGATCCTTGAATGTGGTGAACTAAAAATCAAATTCAAGGTTTGTATACTTTATATACTATACAGGTTCTGACTCTAGAACATGCAAATGCCAATTCTCTTATAACAAGTTACCTTCTGAGAAAAGCTGTAAGGCTATGGTGAATTCCATCAGGAACACACAAAGAAAGTTAACAGACCTACCTTTAAAGCCAATTGTCCATTAATGATTTAAAGGCCAGTATATGAAAAAAAAATTCTCATCTAAGCTTGATGTAATTATTACTATGGACACAGAATACTATAAGTCTGTCCTTATATGTATTATAGCAATTGGAAGGGTTAAAGGTTGCCAAATTACCAAAAAATGGGGTAGAGAAAAACAGACAGCAAAAATTTTAATTTTGGACCAACACCAGATTAAAGATATGCGTTTTAAAGCAAGTCAACAAAATTTGAATACTTAAGGAATAGATCTCAATAGCGGTAAAAAATACTTACATTTAACTGAAAAATGATTTTAGATGGAGTGTGAAATCTAGAACCTGTTTTTCACAGCGGCAGTAATATGAACATAACATTCTGGATTTTTAATGATTCTACAGAAGAAAATAACTTTTCCAAGATTGTTTCCTGTATCATGATTTGTTTTTTTAATAGGCCCATGTTGATTACCAGGGACAGATTTGAAAATTTGGTTTTCCAAGAATACTACTGCAGTATTTAAGCCACATTGATACCGCAGCTAAATATCATAGTAATATATGTGGCAGCCTAATGCACATGAACTAGATTATCCAAAAACTAAGTTCAGCCATAGTTTTCTTGCAGTATTATTAGAGCAAAATAAATGACCAACATCCACAAATTTAACATCTGTCATCAATTAACTCACATCCAAAAAATTAAAGAAAACATAATTCATCAAAACAGCAGCAAACTTAAAAGGGATTTATTTGTGATTTCCTATATATATTTAGCTTGTAATTACAAGACTGTAAATGTATTAAGAGACAATTTCTGTTAAAGTTTTCATTGTGTTTCACTTCAAGTACTGCACAAGTTAAAATCTGATAAAGGATTTACATTCGGTTATCTGAAACTCCCCATCTCAGACTTTTGTTTAATGTGGTGGGTAACCTCATCATTTCATACCACCAGCAGGAAAGTCTCTCTTTTATGGCTTCTAGGACTTTCATTAGTTAGTGTGCATACAGTTTTCGTTTTCTATATCATTGTCATTATCATTGCTATCTTCATCACTTTCTAACGGGATGCCTGTGGCAGCTGAAGCACCTTTAGTTTCTCGGTCAAGAGGAAAAAAGCCAGTTCCACTGAAAGTGTCTTGTCTCTGGTAGAACAGTACATATGCTGCTTTGGACTGTTGAAACAAACAAAGGATGTCAAAATGGGCATAAGTCTCAAAGATCATATTAAGCACAGTATGGATTTTTCACCTGGTAACTGATTTTGGAGACAGGGCATAAGTCAAATAGAAAAACTGTACATGGACAAACGGAACTTATTTAAATTGGTTAAATACAAGATCACTGCTATATATAAAGGAATAAGAGTCACTAGAATGAATATTTTTATTCTTTTAAATTAGCTAAACAGATGAATAAATGCAACTCTATCACAGATTAACCTAGTTACTGCCACATGAAACAGTTCTATGTCTGCTTCCCTCCTGTGTCTAAGGAAAAGGGAAGCTTCTTTCTAATACTCATCCCTTCCCTCTCAGTTTGCTCCAGAGTCCAGCTTTTCCTGCTGCTTTCAGGGTACTGCTCCATTTGTCACCACTGCGTATATTTAGTGATTCCAATTGGACTTCTTGGCATAAAAAACACTCACGTCTCTTCCCATTATAAATCCCTCTCCACTCTACCACCTGCTCCAGCTGCCAGGCTATAGACAGAGCCACCAAATAATATCCATTTTTCACTCTCATGCAAACCCCTATATTCAGCATGATCTGTTGCGCCCATCATTCTACTGAAATTTCAGGCTTTCACTAGGGGCAATAACCTGCTGTAAACAAATTAAATGGATACTGTTTAAAGTTCTTTTATTCAGTCCAGCTGTAGCATTTAATGCTTTACTATTTTTCTTTCCTACATCAAACAATTTTTGGCTTTCATGACACTACTTTACCATAGATCTTCTATCTCCACGGTTGTGTCTGACTTTTTTGTGGGCTTAGTAAATCCCAACTTAAAAAAAAAAAAAATCATGTTCTGTCCCCTGCCCACCACTCTTTCTTACTCTGTATCTTCTCACCAGGTGACTCATTCAAACCTATGGCTTCAAGTATAAGACCAACAATGCAAAGTTATAACTTAGGCTGGTACTCACTCCTGAACTCATAATCTCATAAATCCATTTCCCTGTTGTTTATACAATACTACCACAACTTTATTTTTACTTGCTTACTTATTACTACTACCATGCTTTAAATTTAGAAATCTGTATTGCTGAAGTGACATGACAGCCTTGTTTTTGCTGGAGGCTGTAATAGCCTGCTTCTTGTCTCAAATTCCAAATTTAATAATGTTCTATTGCTTAACAATCACCTATGATTCTCACAGTTTTTAAGAAAAGCTTTAAACTGTGAAGAATGTCATGTTCCTTGATCTGACCGCCACGTTTAGCTCTAGCCTAATTTCTGCCCCATATTCCTAACAGGTATTTCCTTTCAGTAATACCACATTGTTTGCTGTTTTGCTAAATACCATGTTTTATCATGCCTCCTTGCTTTTGTAGTACTGTTTTCTTTGCTTCTTTTGTTTAATTTTTCTATTTGTAGTTGCAGACTCAGGTCAAACACCACTTTATTATGCAAACTCCCCTACACTGGTCCTATCTCCTTACACCCCACATCAGCAGAGATAGCTGTCCTTTCTCCTTATAGCCAAGATATTTAATACTACTTATGATATAATTGGTAATTTACTTCTCTCTCATCTCTGGACTGTAAGCCTCCTTAAGTTAGAGATAGCGGTCTTTTAATCTTGTTTAGAACTGAGTCCTACATGAAGAAGGTACTCAAATACTTGTTGACTAAATGAAGTATCATCATTGTTAAGATGTAAGGTAACATTAAATACACGTATTGTATAAAAATAAGATATATTGTTTATTTGAAGGCAAGATTAGGGCAGCACTGTCAAAGACATGTTGAAAGAGAATATAGGTAATTTCAGGATGTTCTGGCTGGGAGATTAAAGAGGAAAACACGATTGAAAAGTGACAGATGAGGGCTGAAATTAGAAGTCTAAATATAAACTGGAAATGTAATTAACTTAGGCACATACAGATTTTAAAAATATTAGCGTTCTAGTCTTTCTTTTATGTTATAGCTATAGGGAGACAAGCAACAGTACATAACACACACACACAAACACACAAACTTAAAATATCTGTAGAGAAACAAGTCAAAATTATTCCATATCTCTTCACCCAATGGTGAATTGAAACTATGCCGATAACAGAGCTCAGAAGTTTATTAATTTACTAAATTGAACAATATAAGTTGAAGACATTTAAGACATTATGAACTCAAGAAAAAGCTGGTTTCTGCCCTCAACTGAAACTGGGAAATAAAGCAGTCAGTGCTCTGAACACCAAAAGAAAATCTCTATGTGGGAAATACGAGCTCTGTGCTCACAGGAGCAAATACTACATTTCTCACTCTTCATAATATTGTGGTCAAACAGTAAAATTCATAGAAGGCAAACTTTAATAGAAAAATAAACCTTTATCAAGTGAGTGTTAGCTTTCTTCTTAGAATCAACTCATCATCCCTTCACCAATCAATATTTGATAATAAAAATATGCTCTGATGGGAAGCAAAGCAAATGCCAATATTTTGGCTCCAGCTGTAGCTGGTTAACTGATGTAAATGTGAATAGATGTTACTTCCTCATTTTTCTACTATTCAGAAGATATCAAAGTAACAGATACACAAGGTTAATTAAAAAAAAATCTCTAATTTGTTTTATCTAATCATGTAATTTTGAGTTTAAATGTTTAACTGTCATACAGGATAAGACTTTACTTTAAAAATCACAGGTATGGTAAGGAAGACCCTTAAAGGATTTTCTTGTTTTCTATATTAGTACTCTGATTTTAAGTAGTCAATGTCCCAAAATATCTGAGCTCATTTCCCAAAGGAAGAATTTTAAATTCCAGTTTTCATGTTGAAAAGTACCAGAAAAAATTTCATGTTGCAATTTATGTTTATGTTAGTGGGCAGATTTAGAAGACAAATTTCCATTTAGAGGACAATTTTACATTTCTTTAAATCAGAGCAAGTCTCTCTTAACTATTAGAATGGCTAGAATACAGACTAGAGTGTTCCATTCCATGGGCATCTTAAAAAAAAAATGGATCTTGTAATTTTCAGGAAGTAAAAGACACACTTACCACAATCTGGTCTTCAGATGCAGTTGAGACACTACTGTCATCAAAGTAGTACCATTTTCCATCATCTTTATTTTTTGCGAAAGCAGTATCTAATGAAAAATATAATCACTTCTGTGACTGGAATGATCTATGGTTTCTGGGGGGAACCTGCAAATCTTTACAATCATCTATATAAGGAATACATACTAAAGCTGCATGATAATCATGTACACAAGGCCTATATTTTACACATTCAACTGATTCCATCGATTATAGGTTTTAGCATAATTTCCTAAAATCTAAATACCTAAGATGGTTTTCAAAGAAGTTGAAATCTGTGACTTTTTTTTTTTTAATCCCAAGGACAACAGAATAGATCTATTATTTTTTAGTGCACAGAATAACAATATAAATGACAATAAATGAGAATTAACATTTATGTAGTGCTTATTGCGGATCAGGCACAAAGCTCTGTACTTTACATGTATTATCTCATAGAGAAGGTATTATCTTATTCTTTTTCTAGTTTTAGAAATGGGGAAAGTGAAGCATGAAGAGAAATTTAATGTCCAAGGGTAAAGCTGTTAATTGGCTGAGTTAACATTTAAAGCCAGGTCTGTCCCTGACTACAGAGTTTGACATTTCAAACATAATTTAAATTTTGTATTTCAGTTATTTTTATAAATATTTACAAATTTTTTTTTCAATAATACTATCCCAGTAATTTGTAGTTTTTACATCAAAAAACAAAAGTACTAAGCAAGAGAAAAATAAAAAGTGATTAATCTGTAAAATTTTTAAAGATTCGCTTTATCAGGGCACCTGGCTGACTCAGTTGTTTAAGCATCCAACTCTTGATTTCAGCTGAGGTCATGATCTCACAGTTGGTGAGATCAAGCCCCATGTCAGGCTGTGTGCTGACATCACAGAGCTTGCTTGGGATTCTCTCTCTCCCTCTCTGCCCCTCCTTCACTCACACTCTCTGTCTTAAAATAAACTTAAAAAAAAGTAAAGATTTGCTTTAAAAGTTAAAAAAAAAATGCTCCCTCTCACATCCTAGGCTTTATATAAACTATCTAATAACCGAGGAAACAAAGTTACAAAATGTCCCCCAAACAATTATCTGCTGTCATAGCTTCTAAAAAGTGACACCTTATAGGCTATATCTTCTGGATAATTCTACACCTCATAAAACAAAATTATTGCTCTTTTGGGTGGATCCTAATGTGGGTTGTAAGTTTGTCAATTGAACTGAATACCAATGCACCCACAAATTAAAAGAAACATATTGTCAGGCTGAATAAAAAGACAAGGTCTAAGAATAAAATGGTTTATAAGAGACAAATCCAACAAAAAGGCACACAGAGTTCGCACGCCAACTGATACCAAAATAAAAAAAGTCAAATACTGGTAAAAGGAACGAAACAAAAAGAGCTACCCATTTTAAACATAAGTGCAACTAACAGTGCAAAACAACTAATAAAGTAAAAATAGATAAATCAACATTTTAGTAAGAATCCTGACAAATTCCTCCCAGAAATATAACAAATATATCAAAAATAACCAGAGATAGTAATGATTTGAATACAACTGATAAACAAGTTATTAGAAACATACAGAATTCTATGTCTGAATGAGAAATATATATATTTTTCCAAGCACACAAACATTTAAGAAACAGACCCTGTATTAAGTTAAGGCACATGGAAGCTTTAATAAACTAATGATTAATATAATACAGGCAATATAACCAATTGTTCTGTAATAAAATTAAGACAAAAGGAGAGCTTTAAAAAAACTATGTTTTGAAAAGCAGACCATATGAGGTGCCTGGATGGCTCAGTCAGTAAGCATCTGACTCTTGATTCTGGCTCAGGTCATGATCTCACGGTTTCTGAGTTCAAGCCCTGTATCAGGCTCTGTGTTCATGGTGTGGAACCTGCTTGGGATCCTCTCTCACCCTGTCTCTCTGACCCTCCCCTGCTTGTGCTCTTGCTCTCTCTCTCTCTCTCTCAAAATAAATAAACAAACATTAAAAAAGTAAAAAGAAAAGCAGATGATTAAACGACCTCAGACTAACTGGAAATCATAAAGGAAATTAAAAAGATATATAGAATTTAAAGTCAATGAAAATACTACAACTCAAAATTTATGGAATAAAGCAGTATTTAGAGGGAAATTTAGAGCTTTAATTTTAGCCTTCAAGAGAGCATGGAAAAAAGTGAAGCAAAAGGTAATAAAGTATTCAAACCAGAAGTTAAAAAAAGAGGAATGGAGCAAACTCAAAGTAACAAGAAGAAAATATAACAAAGTGGGGCGCCTGGATGGCTCAGTTAAGTGTCCAACTTTGGCACAGGTCATGATCTCGTGATTTGTGGGTTTGAGTGCCTCACTGGGCTCTGTGCTGACAACTCAAGAGCATGAAGCCTGCTTCGGATTCTGTATCTCCCTCTCTGTCCCTCCTCTGCTCATGCTCTCCATCTCTCTCAAAATAAATAAAAAAATAAACATTAAAAAAAGAAGAAGAAAATATAACAAAGAAATCAGTGAGAAAGAATACATTCACATAACAAAAAGAAAAATTTAATAAAGTGAAAAGCTAATTCTTTGAATAGATTAATAAGATAGACCTCTGGACCTAGAGAAAAGAACGAAAAAGGGACAAAGACATCGCATAACTGTATTATATATAACGATTCTCAAATAAAGTGGAATACACAGATACGTTTTTAGAAAAGTAGAAAATGCCATAATGCATACATCTTGGGGAAAAGAAAAGTGAATAGACTTCAATAATCATGACATAAATAGAAAAAACTATGGCTATGTAAAAACTACATAAAACCAGATGGTTTTATAGGTGAATTCTACTAGACTTTCATGAATAGTTAATTTCTATACTATACTATCTGCTTTAGGATGGAGAAAAAAACTATCCCAGACTGTTTTATTAGGACAGACTGTAATCTTGATTCCAAAGAAAGAATATAAAAAAATTACAAGATCATTTCACTTATGAATGAAATCTTAACCACTCTAAATAAAATTAGTTAACCAAATTCAACTGTGAATTTAAACACAATTTTAAGTAAACAAAAATTAATTTCTAAACAAAACAAAACAAAACAAAACAAAAGGTTAAGTAGGCATGCAAAGATGGTCCAACAGAAAAATCTATCAGTTGGAGAGTGTGGACTAGTATAACTGTCCTGGAGAGCCATCTGGCAGTACCTAAATACTCTGTAACTCAGCAATCTCACTTCTGGGTATGTTGCTCAAAGAAATTCTCACATAGGGGACCATAAACAACGATTTTTATCAGTCCTGTGGTGTTAGAAAGTTAAACGCAATTTGGATGTGGACCATGAAATGAGCACAGAGATAAAATATGGTAGATCTAAGTCCTAAGTGGTTAGAAGCAATTAACTAAATGGACACAAAGTAACATAGAGATGTCTTATGTGTTAAGAGAAAAATGTAAGATCTGTAACATACTGCACCAACCATGTAAAAACTAACAATGACACATGATTTATAACACATACATCAAGCATTTTAGAAAGGGGAAGGGAAGGAGAATGGAAATGGACACGAGTTCTGACCATGATGTCCCTTTACATTAAAGTGAAAGTATGGTTAACTCAATACTTTACTCCTGATGTTAAAAAAGGTTCAAAAGCTAATTCATTCATTAGTCAAATTTACTGGACAACTACTGTATGTAAGACACGTTTTATATTTCCCCTTTAAAAAATTTTTATTTTAGAGAGAGAAAGGACACGAGTGGGGGAAAGACAGAGAGAGAGTCCTAAGCAGGCTTCATGCCCAGTGCACAGCAGGGGGCAGAGATCATGCCCTGAGCCGGTATCAAGAGTCAGACACTTAACCAACTAAGCTACCCTGGCCTACTGCCCCCCCCATCCCCACTTTTTTTTTAGAGGCTCCAGGTCCCAATGTGGAGCTTGAATTCATGATCCTAGATCAAGAATCACATGCTCTACCAACTGAGCCGCTAAGCACCCCATATTTTCCCTTTTAGTAGTAAATATCTTAAGAAAAAAAGTCTGCAGTTATCAAGCATCATAATTTTAGCAAAATGGTAACTGTCAACTTACAGTGTCCTCCTCCCATCCCTCCATAGTGGTTTGAAACAGCAATCAAATTATAGCGGCAAGGACCTGCATTTGGATTAATTAGGAATTCTGACATATCCAGGTCACTGTTTAACAAAGAGATCAAATTAGTTTTGTTTTCTCTAAATGTCATGAATTCTATTCTCTGTCAATGTTGCTTGACTCTCATTTATATAAAAAATAGCTCTTTCACTAAAGAAATCACTAAGAACCAAAGAACTGTAAAACAAATCACACAAACACACACCCTCTGAGATGTGAACATTTTGGCAAAATAATTCTTAAAAGGTTGGGAATTTCCAAATTCTCTACTGAATGCTGTTATTCAGATTAATGTTTTTGTGCTAATACATTTAACTTTCAGTATACTAGTAAAACAGTCATCACCCTTTACCATCTGGACCCTTTTAATTTTTTAGATTTTTGAAGTCATTTTTAGTAATTATTTATTTAAGGAAGAATAAAACAATAGTGAAAACAAACTTTCACAGAAATTTTATAATAATGTAGATATATCTAAACCCAATATTTATTCTATTTTCCTGGTTTTGATTATCTATATATCCTGAGTAGGCAACATTCTTTGAAATGCAACCAACCGTTTGTAATCTGTCATGCACAAAACTGTAACATGACCATTTTATAGCTTATCATTATTCATTTTTGGGTACTTGTGTCATCAAAAAGCAATAATGATCCTAAATTTCAAATATATCTCTCATAGATTCTAGATTATCATTACTGCTGGTTCTTCTTATACTTACACACTGTTAAAATGTTATATTTTTGAAAACTTTGATGATTCATAATTAAGGACAAAATTGCCATTGGTTTCTGGTAAAAAGCTGCAAAACATTTTTAACTTTATAATCAACAATCAGAATAAGCAATCCAAAGAATGTTTTCAATATTACATCATCTATTTACTTCCAGTCATCTAGTACACACACCTGCCTATGGCAGTTGTCTACTTATTAACTGTCTCAAACTTGTGGTGCATAAATATCATAAAATATAGAAGAATACTATCGATTTTCTTTTAGCAAAATAGGAGAGTGCCAAGTTATTGCTGCAAAATGTTATGTGATGAAGTCCTTCCTGGACCACGTGAATGAGAATACACTATTTCATTTTTGTCCTTATGAATGCTCTATTAAATTTAGTGAAAGCTTAAAAAAAAAAAAAAAAAAAGACTACAGAGATGCTGTCTCCAGACTTTTTAAAAAAGTGATGTTAATACTCTGGACAATGTGATAAATAAACTCAAGTATGACACAATAGGAATGACTGATTACACTACTGTGTCATCTTTTTAAGCAATTACATTATTCTGTTTCACATTATTCCAGTCTTCTTTAAAAAGCATACCAAGGAATAACTGATGATTAATGATGAAATAATTCCTAGGAAAAACAAAATCACTAAGATCCCACAGAGTATCTTAGATATATAAACAGGGCCAATGAACCCGTATGATAACGTAACATAAAATTACTTTTATTTTGTTGTTCAAAAAGGTGTATTTTCTTTTTGTACTTTGAAAAATATCTAAAAAGGAATAAAATTGCTACTGATCCTTACAAACTGCTAGAATGACTCACAAATACTGGATCTGATGCTACCTTATGTTTATAAAAACCTACAGCTGTCCAATGCTGATAAAGCACAATCAAAACTTACTTGATGGGAAAATCAACTAATGTATCCAATTTGTCTCTCATGTATCGACTATAAGAAAATCGTTTGAGATGTACCACAAGTACTGGAGGCAGGGACCATAAATCCAATTTCTTTGTGGCTTGCTGATGTTCTTTACAATTTGGACAATACCTAAAAATAAAGAGAAATCTTTAAAGCTTGATAGAGGTAATGAAAATAATAATTAAAAAATGCTTGGAAAGTTCTTTTATTCAGTACACCTAATATATACCAGACTGATAAACTCCTTTATCATTTTTATCTTCAAAAAAATCAGATAATGAGATAAATTAGCATGTAAATAGGTATCAAAGAAATGATGAAGGCTAGATTATTTACATTTTAGTATGCTAAAAGAACACAGAACTATGTTGAGAAATAAGCATTAGAAAATCTTAATACTTCTGGGCTCTAATGGAATTAAAGCACCACAAAACGTATGACTTTCCTAAAAAGGTTTCTATCAAAATGGCTGCACAGCAAAAAAACTCTTGGGAAAAAGTAACTAAAATTAATTATCCATTGTAAAACAGCTATTAGAGAGAATACAGTAATGAGATTAGAGCTTAACATTGTAATAATATTTTTAAGGACATTTTAATCACTTTTAACAGACTATTATCATATAAAGAAATGCTTATTATTTAAATTATCAAAGGGAATTTAGTACTTTTTCAACTTGATATATAGCACATACCTTAGTATAAATCCTTAAAACATAATTAGAAACATTTTTTAACTTTGTCTCTTACCAGGGATCTTCAGCACCTAGCTTTTCTTTTGTTGTAAAAAGCTCAATGCAATCTTTTAATTTCACAAAGGGTTTTTTAGGAGGTTTATATTCCACACTTTCATGTTTTTCAAAATCCTAAAGAGAAGTATTTCTTGAGTTAAGAGAACAAATGAAACAAAACTCATTTTAGTGATTCCATCTTACTATGAATAGTAATGAAAAACTCCTAAACTTTCTCAGAAGAATTATAAAGCTTTTTTCAGCTGAGATTTACACACGTCTAAAAAACTTATGATTACACACCTACATGGATGATTGAAACTGTTAACAGAAAGCATGTTCGAAACCAACAAGCCTTTTCTAGTCTATAACCAGCAAAATAAACACATCGCGTAGCAGCAAAGAGTGTAACAGTATGATCAACATGGGAATGAACGATGACTTACCTCAGCGGCATTTTCATCAAAATATCTTTTTTTCAAATCAGGATCCCAATCCAAAGCAAGAAAAGATCTTTCTAAGATGGAAAACATATTTCTCCTTTAAAACTTAATATGCTTTCATGTTAAAATCAACATATTTTAATATTAAGATATATGCCAGAATAAACAAATAGCCATCTTTTCTACTTGCACTAGGTGATCAGGATAAATTGCTATTTCCAAGCCATTAAAATATTTAAGCAGTTAAAGAAAAAAGATACAAGACTTAAGAATAAGTCCAACCCCCATTTAATAAACAGTGATGTGTTTAATATACTTAGAAATTAAGACTTTTCATTCAAGATTTTATACAGATAGGTAAAGGTTATTTCCCATGACTGTTGAATTTCATAGTTTTCACCTAAAAAAAACATGGTTTGCTCAAGTTCAGTGTTCAAGCCATTTTTCACACTTACCATCTAGTCTAAGCTGCCTCTCGTCAAATCTTATATGCCTGGTGTCATCTTTGATGTAGTTGATATCAGTATTGCCTAAATTGTTGAACTGGAATGTAAATAGTCTTTTTTTGTGTCCCGTGAGTTGACTTTTACAAGTTTCCTCAGTACATAATCCATTTTCAGAATCATTATCTCCTCCAACTGAATCTTCAGACTGACTGTTTTCATTCTCGGAGGGAAGTTCTTGATCCTGGCTGGATTCATCATCTGGTTCATCTGTTTCCATCTCACCTAATTTTAGACATTAGAAGTCTTTAAATAAACCCAAAGCTACATTTCAAAATTAATATTAACATTATTTTTCCCAGCTTGAAGATATTTTTCAGTTCCTTAATCCCCATGTTCTTTTTTTCTGAGGCAATAATCCAAGTGAAAGGTGTTATAATTTAACATGAAAGTCTTACTTGGTGAGCCTTCTTCATGTATGCCATTTGGGCCGTTCCCATTAATATTTTGGTCCTTACAGCAGTGTAGGGATCCTTCGGTTTCTTCGGTTTCAGTAGATATTTTGACATACCGGCTTAAATAAAATCAGAAATCAAATTTAAGTTCTATGAAGGTAGAAACCTTAAAAAAACATTTTCCATTCCTTCAGTAAAACATAACTTTTTAATGGAGTAATGCTGGTCTTATACTACATTCAAGGATAAATTCAAACTCGGGATCTAGCACCATAAGTATAAGTGACTAATCATTTCTGTTTTGGTTGTCTATATAAAAAGAAAGACAGCAATTTGTTACTTCTAGGGTTTTAACATCTTTCTATGTTAAAAGTTTGTGGCAAATAATTTCTTGACTTAAAAAAATTATTATATAAATATCCACATTTAGATGATATGTATTATTGCCAAGATTACTTATAACTCTATAATATGATCTTTATGTATGGGTTCTGGGATTGTAACAATTCAAAGAGGTATGCAAGAAAGAATACTACATATGTCAGTTAAAAATGATAAAAGGGATCAAATGGAAGTCTTGATTATATTATAATTCAAATCAAGGTTTTAGGAAGACAAAAAAGGGGTTGCCTTAAAATACTATCAAGCATGAACGTTTATCCTTTTATTTATTTATTTATTTTTTTTTCAACGTTTATTTTTATTTTTGGGACAGAGAGAGACAGAGCATGAACGGGGGAGGGGCAGAGAGAGAGGGAGACACAGAATCGGAAACAGGCTCCAGGCTCTGAGCCATCAGCCCAGAGCCGGACGCGGGGCTCGAACTCACGGACCGCGAGATCGTGACCTGGCTGAAGTCGGACGCTTAACCGACTGCGCCGCCCAGGCGCCCCACATTTATCCTTTTAAATAAAACCATCAGTATGAGTTCTTAAACTAGCAATGTGTTTAACAAAACGAAATATCTGAAATTTGTTTTAATTTCACAGTGCTGATATGACAAGTTCCTATTTTCTTCCAACTGTAAACTTCCGGTGTAAAACAGCTAAAAGAATTCACTTTCAGGGTTTGAAATTACCTCAGTAATGTGTTTTACATGATTAAGAGACAAAATTAAACTATAATTTGATTTTTTAAGTTGCTACCTGTTTAAACAAAGTTGAGATAATATAGGGTTATCAAATTATATTCTGATAGTATGCTGCATATTTTTTATTAACTATTTTATTGTTTTGTCAATGAAGAACTGTCTGACACTTACCACATTCTCAAAAGCAGGAGATTATAAAGTTTATCTTCAGTGTTGTTTCGTGGTACAGCCATAAGAAAAGGCTGACCAAAAAGTGAGGAACCAGTATGGTGGGTATAACTTGAGTGTCTAAATTTTTCTCTTAGGCAAACAGGAATAATCACATGCTCTGTATCTTCTGTCCTATTGATATTAATTTCAAACCTGTAAGGACAAAACTGACCATAAACTCTGAAAACTTTTACGTTATTTCCTCTGAATTTTTCCCAAGTAATATTTTGCACAATGAATTTTATACTTACACATAAATATCATCCCGTTCCATAATACTACTAAGGTTTTCATCCATAGCGAATATTCTGTGAAATCTATGATTGTATATATCAGTAACTATCATCTAAAAGGAAATAAATTTCTATTAATCTGGTTTTACATCACTGAAAAACTCAACTCCAACTTACATACTTCAAACCCAGAAACATCTTACCTTATCTGCAGGTACTCCTGACAAAGCAGACAATGCTGTACAAAGATCAAGTATGTTTCCAATTTTGGGGACAACCACTTTGTACTAAAAAACAAAAAATTATAATGAATTGATTACTTTGGAAAAAATATTCAGTAGTTGGAAATGACCTCATGTGACTTCCTCACATTCGCCTGGTACTTGGCTTACAGTGTCTGTCTCCAATCCTGCCGTCATCCTTGCCACCATTTTTCATTGGGATAATTTATCTTAGCCTTACTGTTTCTTGGCTCTTTGATACAAAGACCCACACTTACTTTCAACTGGAGTTCACTTCTTGCACCTTGTCATAAAGTGGCTTCACCTCTGATATCTTAAACTCTTTTCATACTACTGACTAACCAACCACTACTTAATTTTCCTGGAAATTCATTTTTTCCTATTCTTGGCTTGCATTTAGAGCTCTAGTCCTTTTAATTCTCAATTTTCTCCAAGTTTACCAGCTTCCTAATGTCTTCATACACCTTCCATCCAGATCCCATATGATTGATTCATCACTTCAACTACTCTATTGCAAAACCTTTATTTTGTTATTCAGTTTTATTTTTGCTATACTTTCTTAGAGCTGTTTGGATATGCTGGAGGAACCTGACCAACTTTAGAGACTGGTTTGCTACAAATTCATAGTGCCCAAGTCTCAACAGATCCTTCAACAGTTGCCAGAAATTCTGTGCATCTCTTATTTGCTTTTTCTCTCATTTCTCTTACCATATAATTTACAAATCTCTCAAAAAAAAAAAAAAAAAAAAAGGAAACCAGTCTCTCATTGCTTTCCCTCTAAAAATTCCCCTCTAATTATCTTTCTCCTCTGCTTTCTAAATAACATTGTTAAAAGTAATGTCTACATGGACTATCTTAACTTCCTCACTTCCCATTCACTTATCAATCCATTCGTGGCTTTTGTCTTCATCTCTTTATTTAAACTGTAACCAAGGTTGTCAAACCCTGTTAGAGTTTGACCCTAGCCCTCTTCTGAATTCTATATGCTCTCTTTAGAGACTGTGATAATATATCCCAGTCTGCTTTGGCCAGTCCTGATTTAGTCCGCTGTCCTTGTATAATTATTAATAATGGCCCCTTTTATTTTTAAGAGTTCTGGTTTAGGTGACAGATTATAAGGTCATCCTAGCCTTGGGGATCTCATCCTTCTAAGATATTCACTATCATTTTCATAGACCTCACTACCCAATTTCTATCTCAAGAACAGACATCTCTTCTCTAGTCTAGATACATAAACTCAACACCTAATGAAAACTCTACCTAAATTTTCTTCATGCATTTCAGCATGTCCAGGACTACACATGATTTAAGTCATTATTAGGTCAACATATCCAATATTAAAACAGGTTTCTTCCTAAATCTTTCTTCCTATATATCCCATTAAAATAAATAACACCACTATTTCCTCAGTTTTACAACCCAGTAAGCTTGGCATCATCTTTGTATACTTGTAAACATTGTTTCTTATACTCAACTGGTTCTTCAAACTGCCATCCTGACACTAATATTAAGAGTTCAAGCGCTTTTCATTTGTCATCTGATCACTGCAAAAACCTCTTACATGGTCTTAGTACATCTGACCTAAGCTTTTCCAATTCAATCTTTGTACTAGCTTGAATCTTCTTTCTCTAATACAAATCTGTTTAGTAACCTTCGATGGGTGCCCTAGCTTTTAAGATGAAGTCCAACTTCCTATCATGGTGTCAAAATTCTTTGTGAGCACTTACCATATTATCTACTTATAATTTCCAGAAGTGGGACATGTCCTCTTTCGCCTTTAGCTCTTTGTATATGCCAATCTCTTGGTCTACAATACCTTTATTTTCAGCTTTCACTTGTTTAAATCCTAATCATCCTTAAGGATTCAACACCGGCATTATTACCAGTTTGGGTATGTCACTCCTTCTATATACTCCTAAAGTACCTTATCATAGCACTTTTCACACTGCATGACAAACTTCTTGGGAACAAGAAACAGGAACACTTTTGTATTTCTAGGAACACTTTTGTATTTCTAGCACTTTGCAGAATCTTAAGTTCCAATACGTAATACATGTTCAATACAATTACTAATAAACGTCTATGACCTAAATCAACTTCGGTGATGGGAAAACTCATCAAGTAGGTTAACTCAGCTAATTTCCCTTTCCTCTCCAGCTGGTTAAAGCACATTGTTAATGAGGCTATCATTTTGTATTTGAGTTGTTACAGCCTCCAACTGGAAAAAAACCTCCCAATTCTTCGGTGCTGACCATGACTCCAACCTCTACAAATCTGTACTTTTGGTGAGAAAAAAAAACCAAGTGAGAAAAGAGGTATACTAATGAAATTCATATTGCTGGAAAAATAATTTAAAATCCAAATCATGGGAGAATATTCAATACATGCCTCTGGGCTAATGTGTAATTTGAATGCAATCTGTCTCTACGTAATATAGATGATATTATTGGCATGGGAGAATACGGTCTTTAACAAATGTACTGTGGAGAAACAGAGTATATTCTTTTGTTGTGATCAATTTTTACTTATTGTTTTATGCTGCTCTCTCATTCCACTAAACTCTTTGGCATATACTTGTAAACTTACAAACTAGAGAGGTAAGGGTGTAGTTTAGCATTGCCATGGTTTCCCTCCATTGAAAAGAATGTTAATTCTATACTTATTAAAGGATGTGATTTTAGAAATGTGAACACATCTCCCCCGGTCAAAAATAAAAGCGGGTCTTTACTGGCCTTCCTTAATATTCTTAGTACTACTGAATGAAATATTGACACGAGTGCATCAGGCTCATTGGCTTTAGGAAGAAAACATAAAAGCAGCAGCAAAAGAAATAGGGGGAATTTCTACAACTGAATACATGACTAGTCTCCACCACACTTTAATTACTTTGAATGAAAGGACTGTACTTTTATGGTGAACACTTCATTTACTGTGCCCTTGCTGACAGTAAAACCAAACACTTTGACTAAATTAACGGTAAGATTGTAAATGCGTTAAAAGCAAATGTTTCATATTGATTTCATGACATTGTTATTAGCTGAATTGTGTCCCCTTAAAATTTATATGTTGAAGCCCTGACCACCAATGTAGCAGCCTTTGGAGATGGGCTTTTAGAAAGTTTAGATGAGATCAAAAAGGTGGGTTCCCTTACAGATTACATGCATACATGCGGTCTCTCTATGTAAACACAGTGAGGACAAGACAGAGTCTGCACTAGAAACCAACCATGCTGGCACTCTTGATTGTTAAGACTTCTAGCCTCCAGAACCGTTTGCCAAACAGAGCTTTACACTCTCACTAGGCGTCCAACACATATTTGAATGAATAGAATTTTTGAATATTTCTCCATTAGGAATGCATTTCTGCAGTAGAACTCATGGTCTAGCAGAGAAATGATTAAGTAAACCAAAGTTATAGGGAAATTTGGTTAAATGCGGGAAGAGAATTTTAGGGGAACTGAAGGTAGAAGAGTAAGGAACTACTTTTGTTAGGGTGGGTCATGTGTCAGAAAAGGATTAATAAAGGGAGGAAATATAGTGCTTTGCTTCACAAATTTTAAAAATAATCCTATAATACTAGGCAATGGAATCAGGCTGACAACTGATATTAAGGCCTTTTTCAGGGCTCTTGAATTGAATAACCAGTGTTTGATACTCCAAACTGTTAGAAGATTAGAACATTATTGAAGCAAGTATTTATAGCTGAACTAAATTTCTTTAATTTTTTTTTTAATGTTTACTTATTTTTGAGAGAGAGCATGAGTGGGGGAGGGGCAGAAAAAGAGAGAGAGACACAGAACTCAAAGCAGGTTCCAGGCTCCATGCTATCAGCACAGAGCCCAATGCAGGGCCTGAACTCGTGAACAGTGACATCAGGACCTGAGCTGAAGTCGGACGCTTAACCAACTGAGCCAGCCAGGTGCCCCCCTTTTTTAAAATTTTTAAATTTATTTATTTTTTTTGAGAGAGAGAAGGAGAGGGGTGAAAGGGGAAGGGAGAGAGAGAGAATCTTAAGCAGGCTCCATGTCCAGTATGGGGCCCGATGTGGTGCTCAATCTCATGACTGTGAGATCATGACTTGAGCCAAAATCAAGAGTTGGACGCTTACCCGACTGAGCCACCCAGGCATCCCAGCCCAACTAAATTTCTATTTCTCCTCCAAGTTGTTAAGATGCCTAAAAATTACAGGTATTTAAATATACCATTATCATAACATGAATCAAAATGTGTACTATTAGTTTTATTTTCAAAAGACACTAGAAAAAAATTACAATTAACATTAAAGTTGGAAAATAGGAAAAATATTTATCATAACATTGCAAAATTGAACCTCTCATTTTTTCTTTTGTAAGAAAAAGCCTTTGAGAATTTTATTTATACAAATAATGATACTTTACACATCCCTCAGCCTTTCACGATTCTAAAAATGTGTATTAATTTCCAAAGTATTTAGCTTATAAAATCTCTTACATATATAAACTTAATTACTGAATTGTGCTTGAGACACAAGGTCTCAACACTTAAGTTTTTGTTTTGTTTTTTTTAATTTTAGAGAGAGAGACAGAGTGCATGCGAGTGTGGAAGAGGGGCAGGATAGAAAGAGACAGAGTCTTAATCAGGCTCCAAGCTTAGCGTGGAGTCTGACATGGGGCTTGATCCCACGACCCTGGGATCATGACCTGAACTGAAATCAAGAGTCAGACACTAGACCAACTGAGCCACCTAGGCGCCCCTCGACACTAAGTTTTAATAAAAGCAACAAAGGCAAAGAAAATAATCATGACCTACCTGCATAGGTTTGGTAAGTGGATCCATTCTAACCAAATAAACTTCCAAAGTACGTTCTTTTTTCATGGGCAATGGAAGTGTCAAGTAACAAAAAGGATCAAATGTTACTGAAATCTTAGCACATTCAGGACAAACTAAAGTTGATTTGAAAAGGCCGTGAAATATATCTACTATGATAGAATCATTTCTTTTTAAATGGTTTTCCCAGGCTTCTTCAGCAACTATCTGTAAGAAAAACAGACACATATTACACAGAAATATCACATTATTCTAACAATGGTGACAATGATATTATTAAATTTACCTTATCTGGCCTTCCATCAGCATCTTTTAACTGTATATATGGTTTTTTCCTAATTCGATTCAAATCCTCATGCAGTCCATCTAATAGGAAAGCTAATAGCTCTTGACAGTCCTGCTGCTGGTATCCAGAGAACTGAGGTGCAAAACGTCCTACTTGCGTCTGTAAGAAAAGCAAAAATACAAAATCAGTTACGGGGACAAAATTGATTAAAACAAATATGATTCTCATTATTTATGGATTTTATATTTGTGAATTCACTGACTCTGTTACAATCTATTTGTAACCCTCAAAACAACTTGTGGCACTTTGGCAGTCATTTGCAGATATGGTAACTACAGACACATAAGTTCATACAGATAATTACATATCTAAAAACATTTTAAAAATTATAACTAATCTCTAATGTAGAAATGTTGACCTGAGGAAATAACAAGGAGAAAATGGTAGAGTTTTGTACAAAGGATTTGGAAATACTCAAACTTATTAAAATTCAATAATATTTCCGGGTCACTAGAAAAAATTACAACGTTCTCCTTTAGTTTCTGTGTATAAAAAAGAGGGTAAATTCCAGAGATAAAAGGAATGTTTGTGTTCATATATAATTTTCCTAGTCTTTGCAGTACTATTTTTTTATAAGACTGAAAAGAAATGTGAAAGGAAAAGTCAGATATCAAGAGCCTGTTTACACATAATTTTAAAAGAGAATAGCTGGCAAAATGAAACTAACTAGAATCCTGGGTAAGGATTGAGAAATAGTTTGTCTAAACTAGCTTGTTCAAAGCTTAGAAAGTTAAGATAAATACAGGAGTATTTTGATTTGTTGTTTTTATGGTTTAGGAACTAGTATACAGTTAATAAAATATGGCTTAGCAGATGTCCTATATGAGTGTCATTTGTGTATATTTAAAAATGGCTGAAAGCTGAGAGCTTCTTATTCTCTTTTAAGTTTAAAATTTCCCATAGATCTCACCTGTAAATAAATAGGAAAACTCTTTTAACTATATAAAACTAAATTTCATTCTTATTTGAATGACAAATTAAAGTTTTATTGGTTGTAAGAAACCACTTCACAAAAAAGAATGAACTTAAAAGTGTAAGGATTATATTGAAAGTAATTCATATTTAGCGCTGGCTATATAGACTAGTTTCATTTTAATAATTTTTCAAATTTACAAGGACTCTCAGAATAACCTGAGTGCTTAGACTTCAATGACATGCCCAAATTTAGCCTTTACATTTGTATAAATAAATTTATGTAGGTTTCTCATACATGTACTTATTATAAAGCAAACTGCCTATGCTCTGCTGTCTCTTTCTTGTCATTTTGTACCATAACAGTGTTTTCCAATCTTTATTTCAATATTTCCCTCCCCATCTCCCAGAGATTTTTTAGACATTTTAAAGTAATCGTCCACCACACCTCCCACCCAGAAAATTGAACAGCACTGATATACTGTGGATCTTTCTATTTGTGCTAGGTCCCTATGGAGGGCCATAAGCCAATGTAACAGCTATGATTTTTCAGGGCTTCCCCCAAAGAACACATTTTTGTTCTGGGGGTCATATAGCCCTAACGAAAATGTATTAACCATACTAACCTTAAAGGCTCTTGGCGTGACATAGCTAAATTTTCCAGACCACATTTGTTTGATCAATTCAGCGTAAGATTTAGCTATTTCACCTCTCATTCCTAAGGGATTGTCAAAATTGAGTTCTTCTTGATACTTATCATTGAGGAAATATTCAGTAAGTGGAGGAGTGTTGCTCAAACACTGCAAAGAATAAAACACATTTTCAAGTAAAAGTAACCACAGGTTAAACATGTAAAATGAAGAGAGAAACAAACGGACTTGCCATAATATATAGAGAAAAATTTAAATGATGGCCTCATGAACTAATAAATAACTGGTCAAATGAACACTCAAATGATGCACTCAACTATTCATTTCCCAAATTTCAAATCAATTACTTATAATAAATGAAAATGCTATTATTTGTTGCTGTAAAATCTGCATTAATTTTAACCACAGCAAACTACCTGTTAACTGGGAGAGAAGCTCAGAGTTTTCTTTCCTTCTTTTACTTGATTGGTAGAAATTATGGTTTGTCTACTCATCCCAGGCACCTGCAAATTAGCCTGAGTAGGTAAAAACTGAGATAGAGTGCAAGCAAGAAATTAACTTTAAAGAGGTATTTATTGCTTCCATTGTCAATTCCTTATGAAAGAGCAGCCTTTACATTTTCCATTTGGTCAACCAATTTTAGAAGGGACAGTACAGATTCGCTGAGCCTGAGGAAACTTAACTTTTGTTATGTGAACTCTGGCTAAGTGTGTTCCTACTTCCTCCAGTTCTTCAGTATCATGACAATTCAATTTTCCTTTTTGGCAAGATTAAAACTATGAATTAGTTAATTCTCCATCTCCTTTCTATTCAGAATGAAATAATTTAGGAGTTAAAATAAAATAGATGCCAGAAGTACAGTTTTTCCCTAACACTTTATCTCAAGATAGAATGATTTTAAGTTGATAATACCATATAATTTGAACCCAATGTTATTATTCTTTATTAAGAACCCAGTATTACTTTATGAATTAGATGTCTAGAGTCATTAAATAGAATATGTAATGACTGACATATACTTTTCTTTTTCTTTTTTTTTTTTTTTTTTTTTTTTTTTTACTGCAGGAAGACATTGGTCTTGGGAGTCAAAGTTTTTCACAGCTTGCTTATCACTCAGTTAGGTTAATAGTCTGGGATTAAACAGTCTTGGTAGCTATGAAAAGTTCAACCTGCTGGGTTCATGCCAATAACTGGCATGCCATAAACTATGTCTATATACCATGTACTGTTTGACTAAAACTTCAAAATTAAGCATATTTGATTTTTTGAAATAAATTATGATGTTCTGTTTTGTGGTTTCAATTATGAATTAATTTAGGTTTACTTAAGTAACCATAACATCTATTTTGGTATTTTCAATGTAATAAAAATAATACTGCTCAAATTGGTAGTCTAGTACCTATAATAAGGCAAAAGGGAAATTGTTTATAATATCATGGAATTTGTTATTATATAATTAATTCTTAGGCAATGAAAGCAAATAAAAATGTTTAGAGTGGACTATGTGTCATTTACAAGCCATTTTCAGCAGATATCAAATTTTATGGGAGCAAGAAGAAGATAAAGGTAGATTACAGTGTAGGAGGCGATTCAGGAAAGGATACTTTCCAACTTCTGAACTCCTTTTACATGTCAACCTCTCAAAATCTTACACAGCTTTTGAGATTCATTCTCTTTTCCTTTTGTATTATATGTTCTTTTAACTATAAATCCAGCACTAGAGGTAGGGTCAGGCAACCCAGAATACACCATGGCTACACTAAATGCCACCACTTAGTAGTATCATCTGATTCAATACAAACAGGATGAACACTATATAGTCAATGAGGCAAAGGGGAGGTCAGACAGCATTTCCAACAATTATCAGTTAGTTTTCAAATCCTTGAATTTGATCAGTTCAGGGTTATACTAAGAATATGGTATTCTACTAATGTAACACAATTATACAAAGAACCTAATTTATGGTTTTACCAAACTAAGAACCAAGTTGTACAGATGTGAATAATTTTTGAACTCTGTTTTCACTTAATTCTATGTATCCTTATCTTGCAAAGAACTTCCAAATATAATTTAAAATCTGTAGCTTTCCAGTAGCATCCGGAGTGATTTTTCTAAAATTTATATCACTTTCATGCTAAAAATAATAGCAATTTCAGATTGAAATCTCAATTTTTGAGAAGAGTCTGTCTTTTGCCCACCTATGTGGCCTCTTATCTTGCTAATACCTTTATGTGACTCTATCCTAGCCTCATTTAATTACTTGAGGTTCCTTGACCTCCATGTATTCTCTCACTCTTAAATTTGCAACATCAATCCATCTATGTGAAATATACCTTCTTTGTTCTATTAACTTCTACTAAACCATCAAGATTCAGGTATCCTGTCTGGGAAGTATTCCTAGATTTCCTTCTAATGTTTCCTTTGGTATGTTTCCATATTGCATAATGCTCACTTGTACTACACCACTTATTTTCTAATATACTGTAACTTTAATTTTTAGTTTATCTGTCTTGCCAAATGGACTGTGACCTTCATGAGAGCAGGAACCATAATATCAATTATATGTATATCTCCAGCACTCAGTATGTGTACAATAAACATACGTTTAATAAAACATGTTTTTGTCTACATATACAAATGTTTTTATCCTTTTGGCTTTTTAAATCTTTTCCTCCAATGTTTGGCACAAATTTTTCTTGAATGAATTATTACTTAGGGAGGCAAAAATATATTAGCTGGTAATGGATAATCTCAAAAACTTCATCAAGCACTCCCACCTGATTTAATGGTTTAAGTCACTTGGTTTAAATTATATAAATCAAAAGAAGGACAGCACCTATTAAAAACTTGCCCATGCTTTTGTGTGACTCTTGATCTCAGGGTTGTGAGCCTGAGCCCCATAGTAGAGATTATGTAAAATAAATAAACTGAAACATACAAACAAGCAAACACCAAAAAACTTTCCCATCCTTTTAACTTTCATTCAATTCACTATCTACTTTGTAGTGGGTCTCTGCTTGGATTTTTTTTTAGTCCTTGATACAGAGACCAATGATTATTTTCAAAGTGACACAAGCCATTTTGAAGATGACTATAATTGAACATTAACAAACTAAAAACAAAACACAGTTTTAATAAGTGCTTGTATTACTTATCAAGATATCATAACCAATATATTTTGAGGTAACCCTTATGTTTAAATTAAAAAAAAACATTCTATTTGTTAAACATAATTTTAAAAAAATTTAAGTATAGTTGACACACAATGTTACATTAGTTTCAGATATACACCAGAACATACTGTGTTAAGAAACTCACAAGCTACATTTTTCTAAAAATTTATACAAACATATATAAATACAGAAATTCAATAGACAGTTTAAGTGTTCTACTAATGCACATATCACAGTAGTTTAAAAACTGAAACTGATGTCAGACTTTTCTTTCTCATATTGTAAAATACAATACTTTTCTCCCTCACCTTGAAATTATTATTCTGGGAATCATTATATTCTTGGACTAGTATAAAGACCACCTAAAATACTAAAAGTTCTCTTTTAATTTTTGGTATAAATTTCAAGGTATAATTAGAATACAGGTCAAACAACTAAAGTATTTCCATGCCTCAAGTGTTGTCAGTATTCAATGCCATCACCGTGGCAGAAGTAAGAAGGTAGTTTCTTAATATTGGTCATACTGCAGTTTGAGTTATAATTTATACAATTCCATCTATCTTTTAATATGGGGCTATCTTAGAAGAATGAACATCTTTGACAAATACAAGAAAACTGGACATTTGGACTAGTTGCCATTAAATACAATGTTTTAAAGAATAAAGATTTTGGTTAGTTCAATAATAAAAACAACAATAACCATAGTTCTGAAGCATCTCTCTCAAAGATTCCTCTGCTATAACAAGCATCACTTTTCCATCTGATTGGGACTGTCCCAAAACAACTCCTTTCTTAAGACATATACAGACAAAGGGAATTTCTCCTTTTAACCTGTAAGATACTTTATTGAGTGACATAATATGGACCTGAAATCACACGTTTTATGCACCTATGTGGATATATTTCTCACTCTCAATGATTCTTGAACTGCAGAACAGAACAAAACTCATCCTTTCCTAACATAAACGGTTTCTCCTAGCAAAACCTGAGAATACAGATGTAAATAAATCTATTGTAAAAACAAAAGGGATTACATAAATAGTATTAGTATGTTATTTTATGGCTACTTATGAGTTTTGTGATGTTCTACCAGTCATATGCCATTTTGAGCTTCACCTTTGTTAATTCAGATTTCAACTACCTGACATTGACAGATACCAACACTTCAGTATTTCAAGGAGAGCTTCTCACCACCAAAAAAACTGAAGTTCAAGTATGAGGTGATGTGACTCATAATAAAACACAGATCTTAAGCCACATTTTACTTATATCAGAATGGTGCCTAGAGTGGTTCTTACAATTGGTAGAATTTTATCAAATACTATGTTAAAAATAAAGCAATAAACAGAATGAAGAGGATTCTGTACCAGTAGTCTCAATTCTTAATGTAAAAAGGAGTAAGTAAAAACTTACAGTAGTGAACAAGCAAAACTGCTTTAGTTAAAAAACTAAATTTCACATTTAGTAGATGTTAAAGAGTTTTGGCATTCATTAATTTAAATTAGTCTTTGTGATAAAACAACCAGTTGGTTAACTGGAAGGTCAGGACATAAGCTAGTATGAAAAACTGGTTTATCCATGAGGAATGAGAATGCCTGGGTATGTGCAAGCCAGTCATTTTGTGAGCAGACATGACTACTAAGTATCTGTTCCTGAAAGTGGCTCTGTGTCTTAAGACATATTAGTCCTTAGTTTAATGTATTAAGATTGAACCTTAGCCATGTACTTCTTCCTCCCTTTCTTAGAATGTTCTTCCCCTGTAAGAAATTCCTATTCTTTAACACTCATGTCAGTATCTCTTACAACATTTTATCTTGCTCAGCACCTCAAGGAAGAACTAATATTACTTCTTCTGAGCAAACTCTATACCTTGAACTCACTTACACTGCGCTTATTTTGAAAGCAGCCTCCATGTCTATTTCACCTTTGTACCTCAGGGTCTACAGCACAATGCCTGACACCTACCTTAATAAAGGT